GTAACATAATCGTGCTTGACAAAATATGTAAATTTATTTTGTCAAGCCCTTGACCAACCAATCAGCTCATGAGGGTCATTACCCCTCCCTCCCCTGGATACCGTTGCGCACAATTGTGCGATAGTTTTGTCAAATGTGTACGCACGCTCTCAAAGGTTATAAAAACAGACCACCCAAACACACGGCTATTAGTTTGATTTGATAATTAAAACTTCAAACGCCTGTACTAATAATCTGTAATAAAACTAAACCGATTACATTCTCAATAGTAATTAGTGTGGTCTATGTTAATAGTGTTGCAAGGGGATTTAGTAACTATTGACGTCATCACTCCGTAGTATAAACAGTCGCTTCTTGCTGTCAGATTCTATTTATGCTTAGATCTTTAAAACTATTGAACCGTTTTTAATTCAGTTTTCTTTTAATAGATAGTGTAAATCAAAAGGAGGCTTTATATTTATAATATAGCAGTGAAATACTGATACTTTTATGTTTCTAATGTGATGTAAATAACCACATTGTCGTATCAGCATCGTACCCGTGCGAAGTCGGGGGGATCGCTAGTTAAGACTAAAAGTAAAACTTCCTTAAAGACCTAATAAAAGCAAGAAAATCCGAAGCAAATCAATTCGGATTAAAAGAATGAAATGAAAAAGTTTTTTTTTAATTATCTAGACTTCTTAATCAAGAGAATGTTCTTTACCGGCCTTTTTTCATTTGGCACCGCTTGTCTCGCCTTTTACGGCATGAAAATCGAAAGTTTTCTGATAAAAATTGCAACAACATAATCTTAAAGTAATTAATGGGAACATCGGTATAATATAAAGGAATAATTAAAGAACCGACATAAGAAAGAAAACATATTTAATGTAATGTTCTACGTACTTAATTACTTAATTATGATAGTTATATACATACCTAAAAATCCGAATAATCCTAATATTATAAATGCGAAAGTTTAGATGGATGGATGGATGTTTGTTAGAGTTTGTAGCCTAAACTGCTGAACCGATCTCAATGAAATTTGGTATACATGAAGAGGATAGTCTGGAAGAACACATAGGCTACTTGGTCTTGTTTTTTTTTAACACCACGGAGTCGCGGGCGAAAGCTAGTAAAACAATAAATTCTTCCTTTTCACAATTTCACAATACTTTCGAAGTCAATATAATGAATGAATGAATATGTATTTATTGCCACAAAAAAGAAATTACATAAAAGGACTTATTCTAAAGAAAACACACAATCGTGGCAAAAGGTAGCCAGCTCAGCGGATGCAGGACGGACTAAGCCGTTCCTGCGCTGATTTTCAGCTGGCTCCTTCGCACTCAAGTAACATACTCGTATACCTTAATTATTAAGGTAACCGGCCTTACTAATTACAGATACAGAAAACTAAACAAAAATACACTTTTAAAAAGAAAAAAATCAAATCGTGTATTAACTAAATTATTTACATTATTATCTAAATCATTTAAATCTACAGCTTAAAAAATGAATTAGTGGTAATCGCATTAAAAATATTGCATTGAACTTAACGATTTGTTTTTAAATTAACAGATTGACATTTTTAATCTGTTATTGATTTATAATCTTGATTCATTATCATCGCAGCGTGAGATAGATGCTTGGTGGTCAATTTAAAAGCCATAAGTGTGAGAGAGACGACAATATAAAAGTCACGACATACCCTAATTTAGTTTCAAATAAGGGATCCTCACGCACGACGGTGATTTAACAATTTAAATTCAGAAGTTATTTCCGTGACTTTGGAACGGACAAGACAACGACTTTGTCTTAATTTGTTCAACATATCTAAATGCTAGAAAGAAAACAAAAAAGATTTCGGTATAGCCTTACCTTAGTATATAGTAACTAGGTTATTTCATCTAGTAGGATTCTGGCGACGGCAATGATTCAATACAACAATATCTTTAAGAAAATAAACAAGTAACCGTTACGATTCTTATGAGAATTCTTTAGAAATGCAACTCTTTTCGTGGAATGTCTAGCGGTACCTTAGCTTTTTCTATGACGTTTTCGCTGATTTTAAAACAAACAAAAGCATAACTAAGGATTTTAGCATCAACAAAGATATTTAATCTGTAAATTCGTTTATAACGTTGCGAAAGTTGAGAAGTATGTCGTTGTTAATCGATGCCCGAATACGTTTTAAATCTGGCAACCCTTGTAGGCGCGTATTACGAAAATCCAATATCGTAAATGAAACGACCATGTGTTCGTAATAACGAATGTAACCAAGTACCTATTTATTTTATTTCTGTTCCAATCTGGTTATTATCTCAAGGCAAAATAATTTAATACAATAAAAATGTCTGGTTATTATTTTATATTTATAATCTACATAAATAATTGAAAAAAATTGACACAGTTTGGTATAGCTTAATTTTAAGAAGTAATAACTACATTTATTACTGTTGTTTATGGACAACCAGGACCTCATAGAAGTTTAGAGAACTTTGTAATGGATCTATCGAAACTCGACTTGAAGACAACGGGCCATTCGCAAATTTAATAAAAAAATAATAAAACAAAAACTTAAGTGAACGGTTATTAAATGTTAAATAATAAAAAGGATTATCAAGAAAGCAATAAATTAAGGAAGGTGAGGATCTGATTTGGGTGGCATTACGTAGCATTGGGTAATAATTTTGTTTACAAAATCTATAGTAAGGCAAAGGCATGGTATGGTTTGGCAGAAGGTTAGTGTTGTAACGCGGTCGCTGGCCGCAAGGACGCGGCGCGGGCGGAGGCAAGCTTTCCAGCGAGAAGCGAGAAATTTACCGATGTGTGCGTGCGTCTTGCCTTGGCTACGTTCGGCGGGAAACGATAGTGTTGCCCGATATTATTGATTTACCGAAATTAATTAAAATATTCAGTTGTTTTTAAAGTTGTGTTATTTATTTTCCCTTGATATTAAAAGATAAACAGGGATTGTGTTAAGAAAATAAATTTCCTCGCATACCATTTTAATTTGTAAAAAGTTTAAACCAATCTTGGCTTGGATCTAATTTGATAAACTCAATATTTTTGTTATCGCTAAAAAATTGTGTCTGTTTATCAGGTTATTGAATATTCTGTATTTAGAGATAATTGACATAAAAATTTAAATACACAACAGTTACTTTTATTAACTGTTTTCTACCGTGTCAGTTAAAAAGACGTTGCCTAATTTGTACAAGATTGTATGGAAAAATAAATTTATCTACTGATAACACCGATGTCTTCTGAGATCGCGTTGCGGGCGGCGCATATTCATTCACGCACACTCGTGCGTCGATCGTGTTGTGTTGCTCCGCTTGACTTTAAACTTTTGTTTTTTTTCGTCCTGCGGGCGAGTCGACCACTTGCCTTCCTTACCTGCTAGAACGTTGTATTATCTATGAAATTTACAAACTTTTGTGTTATTAAGTGAATAGAATATAAAATTATTAGATAGTTCATAGTGTTAACGTTGTCGTTAAGTCCAGATGTTAGTTCAAACGGCAACAACCTCATTCCGTGTCAACAAACAAACATAAACAGTGATTGAAACCAGTTTATAGTTTCAAACAAAAACTTATGTGAATTACAATGGCCTAAAGTAATCCAGGATGGGTATGGGTGTCGTATTCTTGTGCCAGAACGTGATTTTCGTTGCAACTTCACCCACATAACGTTTATGGTAAGTAAAAGTTTCTTGTTTTACGAAACAACTTTTTTGTTGTACTTTTTTGGAGTTTTTAAATGTACTTACAAGTTTCTGGATGTTTTGTCATATTAAAGATTTGTTTTAAAGTATTTTTTAACGTAGTAAAGACAGGTTGTGTTGGTTTGCGAAATGGTTACTTCTTGCTTGTTCCTGCCCACTCAAGTTTATGTAATTTGATAAATTAGTTATACAATGTTGTAGCTGAAGTTAATAAGAAACTGTAATTTGAGGGTATTTCTACCTTTAAATAAAAAGCAAGAAAAAACTCAAGATAACATCCATAAATTATTATTTCAGTTAATTAAATTTAGAATAATCTAGATTTTTGAACAGGTCAGGTAGAACTGACATATGAAAATATTACTTAACAATATGATTAGTAAAATGATAAAGTGTCCAAGTTTACAATCTGACGAAGACAAATATAACGCCATGTCATTAACCTTTCACAATGCAAAAACGAGATGAATTAAATTACTTGTTACGCAATAATTAATAGACGTATTATGTCGCTTTTATTACTTTTAATATTAACTTGCATATTTACTTGTACTGCATATTCTAAAGCAAAGATTTCGCTAACAAGCCACTCAAACACATGTCAATAAATTACGAACAGTGAATAATTAAGCTAACCGACTCTACTTGTCCTCACGTACTCTTGTGGTCCACAAATTTGCATTTTAAAATGCAACCAATGTAGATACAAACCAGTTTGGTTTCGTTAAAGATTATCTTACCGACTCTAGATCATGGATACGCATAAGTAGTTAACTCCGTATTTAAACTTGCATGAAATTTGTCTTGCTATCGTATTGTCTCAAGTGTTAAGCGCACTTACGTCGAAAAATACGTTACCGAGTGTATGTTTACGTTGCCAAATGTATGTTGAGAATTGCATGGTGTAGTTTCCTCAATATAGCTTTACTGTAGGTATGTATTTTAACTCAAATATTGTTTTAGTTCAAAGAAAATAAGACATTTATTACCAAAATAATCTTCTAATCCTAATACTAAAGAGTGTTTAACTAACTAAAACTCTGAGCGGTAATGTCTTCGTAATTTGATATCACGAATCAATAATCAGGGTATTCTGTTATAAAACAATTGTCTCTGTCCACCCCTTAGTGTTTACGTGACAGTCTATAACAATGTTTAAAGTATGTAATCTGATCTGACAAATGAACAACAACAGATCCCGAATGGGCGAGACTTGCCGCGTACTGCGTTTTTTGCCAACACCGAACGCCGGATCTGGCGGCAAAAACACGAATCAATCATCGCAAACCAAAATGGCGGACAGATAATTTTGTTTTTTATTATCTGTGATGTTGAATTATGTTTCGTGAGGTCCGCTTTCGATTTAGATTTCTTTAAAATGCATTTTTTAATAAAGAAATTACTTTGTAATAAAATATTAAGATTGTTTTTTTATCTTTATTCATTTATTTACTCTTATAAGACTAATGTTACGCATATATGTGGCGTAAATGCTATTCGATAACCCCAGACATACGTTTTTCTCTACGTTAGCACAGTATGTCTTCCTGTACTGTTTTTGACCGACTTCCCAAAAGAAGGAGGTATTCAATTCGTCGGTATATTTTTTTTTTTTTTTTTT